CAGTTATATCGAACCTTTCACTTACGTTTACTTTGTAGTGAAACTCTTCATAATTATCAATGTGTTGGTGGTGAATTTTTGTAGCCTTCCCCTCCCTTTCTAAAAAGAAGAGTATGTGTTATATGGCTAAAATCTCATTACAAATCTAATTCTTAGATTGTGTTTAAAGTAGCTAGTTTTGGGGCACCTGGCTGGCATGACTCTTGATCTCAGAGTCATGAGTTCGAGCCCCACATTGGGGGTAAAGATTAAACTAAATAAATAAAGTAGCTGTTATTAGTGAAGGATATCAAAACATTATTATCTGATCTATTCTTTACTATTTTGCTCACAAAACCCTGAGAGTTGCCTTTTGAACAGTTCATGTGTATATATATCTGTTGGGCACTCTTTCATCTAAGAATCTGAGGTTATACCTATTCTGAATAACTGCCTCCTCCTGAGAGAAAAGTAGCAAAGCTCTGGAATTCAGGTGGACTTTGCACCTAAAGTCTCCATCAACTTGGAGACCATTTGGATCACCACGGGCCACACGGTGGGCTCCCTGCCAGCACTCTGGGGGACTGTCCAGAGGCCCGGGGGTGCTGGAGTGTGTGGCCTGGGGTACTCACAGCAGGCATGTAGCCAGCTTTGGTTCCATAGCTTTGCTTGTTGACAATTCTGGACTCCCTCTTACTGCTGAGAGTAATTTTAGAGTTTTTAAAAGATTTGGAGAGTTGGTATTTGGCAAAGAGTATTTCTAGTTTGTTGCTGGCTAGGTAAATGGTCTATTGAGTAATATAATTCCAGTTTCCTATTGTTAATTCTGTTAGGGATGATTTTAGAAATTAGGGTTACCACTTTTTATAAGTCTTTATCTGTTAGAAATGCATACTGAAATATTTGTGGATGAAAGGCTGTAATATCTGGCATTGCCATAAAATATTCCATCCCACACCCAGAGAAAGGCATGCGTGCAGGGGAGAGGAGCATAGATAAAACATGATTGGCAAAATACTGGTGATTGTTGGCTAGGTCCCGGGTACATCGGGGCTTCTTTGTCCTAGTCGCTCCACTTTTGTTTTTGTTGAAACTTCCATAATAAAACAAATGAGCCATCATCACACACAAATCCAGGACTTCTGGACTTTCCTTTCTGGCATGCAGAAGTGCAACTTTGATCATTTGAGACACTTTTTGTAAACAGAAGCCATCATTAGCCAGGAACAATTTAGAAAATCAATCAAAACAAACACTTGCTCTGTATTTCAAAATACCTTCTAGTGGTGAACACTTCCCTGCAACAGCAGTGCTGGCATGAGCCAGGACTCTTGCATCACAAACACCCTCTGAGGCCTTCACTCTGACAACAGTAGAAAAATCGCAAGTCCCTTCCAGCCTGGAACTGACCTATGCCCATTGTTTCTCAGAGGGTGTTTACAGCATTCTAATGCCTTAAAATAGTCCATGAAAGCATAAGTGGTAAGATAGACATTTGGGAGTTGCTATGTTTCATGGTTTTCTTTATCATAGGGCTTCTCAGAATCTTTTTTTTGTTTAAGATTTTATTTATTAGGGAGAGTGTGCACGAGCAGGGGAGAGGGGCAGAGGGAGAGGGAGAAGCAGACTCCCCACTGAGCAGGGAGCGCGATGCGGGGCTCCATCCCAGGACCCTGAGATCATGACCTGAGCCAAAGGCAGGCACTTAAGCTGACTGAGCCACCCAGGTGCCCCTCTCAGAATCTTTATTATGTCATGCCCATTGTGATTCTGTCCAGAGTGTAACAGAATATTTCTCTAGTGTGCCTCTGTGACCACTTTCTCTTACATCAAGAGGGAGAGACTCTGGGAAAGGAAATAGTCCAGATGTTTGTTTCTATTAAGAGAGCAAACATTGCCCATAATCTGCTGTAGATTGGTGGTACACCTGTTTCATTTTGGATATTTCATAGAGCTCAGAATTAAGTGACTTTGAAAACATTCAGGCAGCTCACTACCTCATGGGAAGTTAAGCTCACTTCTAACTGTGATGTTAACAGTGTAAGATTCTTGAACTTAGCCAGGTAAAGAGCCCCAGTTCTTTTTTTTTGTTCCCTGGGGTATCTTCATCTCTATACCCCCTCACCATCCAGGTGCTTAACCTCCAAAAGTGAGTTCTCCGAAGTGAATATAAAGTGTTGTCTAATTACAGAAGAGCACACTACAGGTATTTATTGTATTGCTTTTTAAAGATTTATTTATTTTACTTATTGACAGGGTTGGGGGGTGGAGAATCCTGAAGCAGCCTCCCTGCTGAGCGGGGAGCCTGACACAGGGCTCGATCCCGTGACCCCGAGATCATGACCTGAGCTGAAACCAAAAGTCAGCCACTTAACCGACTGAGCCACCCAGGTGCTCCTTGTGTTGCTTTTTAATGCTGCCTAAGATTTTGTTAGCTTTTCTAGTGGCCGCAGCATAGTCTTGTTTGCTCAGGTAAACTTGTGGTTGACTGTAATACGTCACGAACTGCTGTTAAGCCAGGCCTCCCTCCTGCTGAACTATTTCCAAGAGATGTTACAAAGAAAAGAGAATCGTGAGACCACATGAGTTTCGGAAATGCTACTTGTCATTTACTTGGCATAGTAAGAATTTAACAAGTAAGAGGTCATTATTCCTGTGACCATCTGTGTTGGCAGATAACTTGGTTTATTCGTCCCTGAATCACCTGGATAGGGCCTGATGCATGTGGCACTCGGTAAATATTGGTGGAATTAATGAAAGAAAAGATGGGCTGCATCTAGCAGCATGTCATCTTGTTACCTAGCCTAGCCTGTGTAGATAATCTTGTATTTTGCCTCTGTTGCTTAAAAAAGCCAGCCTCTGTTGGGGCACTTAGGTGGTTCAGTTGGTTAAGCGTCCGTCTCTTGATTTTGGCTCAGGTCATGATCTCAGGGTCATGATCTCAGGGTTGTAAGATCGAGTCCCACGTTGGGCTCCACGGTGGGTGTGAAACCTGCTTAAGATTCTCTCTCCCTCCCCCACTCCCTCTCTTAAAAAAGAAAAGAAAAAGGCTAGCCTCTGTCACTCAAAAAGCTAGTCTGCTGGCCCAGCTTCACCATTCACAGATGTGACAACTATGTGTTCTTATGTCTTACCTAAGGCAAGTACCGTCTTCATCCATGAGCCTGCATCTCAGAATTTTCTCTTAGTTCTCATTGATTTTCTTCTACTCCTTCAAAATCTTTTTCAGTCATGCTATCTTCCTCAAGTTTCTCACCATTCTAAGACCCTGCATCCCTTCAAGTAAACCAGGGGGTAGAGAGGCATTCTGCTACCCTTTTGTCACTTCTACTAGCAAGATGTTTTGGGAACACAAAATGAGTGACTCCTGCAGGCAAAAAAAAAGCCCTGCACATACTGCACAGGTCACCAAAGAGACGCAGAGAGATGCAGAGAGAGAGGGAACACAAGCAGGGGGAGTGGGAGAGGGAGAAGCAGGCTTCCGGGGGAGCAAGGAGCCCGATGCGGGACTCGATCCCAGGACCCTGGGGCCATGACCCAAGCCAAAGGCAGACGCTTAACGACTGAGCCACCCAGGCACCCCAGGGGTGAACATTTTATGTTTTTTGAGTTTTGTTTTGTCTTCCACCCTCAAGATTTTATTTAATTGCTCTGAGGTAAGCATAGTCATCAATGTTGTTTTTTACTTTTAAACAATCACACCTTTATATAGAAAGGTTGGAGGTATCGCATAAAAACTTCTCTTTCCACTCATTTGAGACCTGATGCTCCATCAGTCCTGACTGCTTTAGTGTGTATTTCCTACAAACAAGGCTTTTCCTACATAACCATCCAAATCAGGAAACGGTCATTTATGCGTTATTGCCATCTGATTCTCAGACCCCATTCAAGTTTTATCATTTGCCCCAATGTCCTCTTTAGCAAAAGGATCCAATACAGACTCACATGTTGCATTTAGTTTTCATGTCTCGTCAGTCTCCTTCAGTCTGTTGCATCCTGTCAGGTGGTACACACTGCCATTTTGTCCCGTTACTGTCCACACTTTGGTCACTTCACTTGATGAAGGTGGTTTCTGCCAGACTTCTTGCTGTAAAGTTACTTCTTTCCTCTTTGAAATTAGCAAGTATTTTCTGGAGAGGTACTTTGTAAAAATATTCCATTCCTTATCAGACTCTGAACGTATTCATGTATTTATTTGTATCGGTATAGACTCATGGTTCTGTTTTATGCAATGGTTATAATCCATTGCTATCGTTACGTACTTTGATGCTCAAAATATCACCAACTTGGCCAGTGGGAGCCCATTCCAAGTTGGCTTCTGTGTCTTTTTGACTCATTCTCATCATTCTTTAAGTGCTTCCTTGCTTTCTGGTATGGGGTAGTCCAGGCTCATCTTGTTCTCTCCTTTGTAACCCTGGAATTGGCTACTTACCCAAAGAGATCTGGTTCATTTTAGTGGAAAATGGTGTACAGACACCAAGATCTGAGCACTAGTCATGTTCATTGCTATTGGGGTATCACTACTCCTTGGTCCGCTCAGCAGACAGAGCTAGGGAATATTTGTGTGCTCGTGTATATACACATACACTCATTTGCATCTGTATTGGATGAAAACCATGTATTCATGGTGCTACCTCACCACACGGATCATTCTAGAATTTTCCCTTTCAATGTTTGTAACTCCCTTCTCTGACCATGAGAAACTTGGTTTGCACTGTCCTTAATATTTCTATTTAATTGATCAACCCCCTGCGTGTAACCAGTCTTCCATTTTTGCCAGCACCCCCTCCCCTGCTCAGACACCCTCCTCTCCCAGCTCAGGCTGTCATTCATTCCAGGCCACCCCCATGTGGACACTCACCTTACCCAGCTTGGTCACCAGCACCCCCTGCTAGGTGATTCTCATATGCAGACAAGTTTGAGGACCACTAAGGGTTCTCGGCTTGGACTGCACTTTAGTCTTCTTATCAGTCATCTCCCACCTCCCTGCTAACTCTTACTGATTGCTAGTTATTTGCATGCTGCCAGACATTTCCTTTCGTAAGGAACAACACCCACAGTCCTTTTCTTGTCACTGCTTGAAAGCTCTTAATTATTCGGTAAACAGCAAATACAGTGCAGTCCTGGCTGCGTTTGCAGCCTCCCAGGTTGGTGTGCCGGTCTCACAACAGTGCCTCTTTCCTCTGCTGAGGGCAGTGTTGGTGTCATTAAAATACCAAGAAATGCAGAGGTTTCATTGGTGTTCTGGAAGTTGTCTTTTGCTGCTATGGAGAAAATAGCTATTATTTTTGTCCTGTCCCGCAGCTTCCAGTTCAAAGGCAAGTGAGAGTCTCCTTTGAGCCTCACTCAGATTTGAAAATACCCCTAAAAAAATCATCTCTTCCCGCCTCCACTAAAACAAATAACCCCCCGCATGCATGTGTGTGTGTTGCATGCATTCTCAAGTGTGTTGTTGTCTGTCCTGAAAAGCGTGAAGGAAGACGTGTTTTGGAGGAACTACTTTTACCGCGTCTCCCTGATTAAGCAGTCAGCCCAGCTCACAGCCCTGGCCGCCCAGCAGCAGGCCTCCGGGAAGGAGGAGAAGAGCCATGGCACTGAGGAGGACCTGCCACTGGCAGGTATGTTCAGAGAAGATTTCACTGTGTGTTAAAAAAAAAAAAAAAGAGTTACTTTAAAAATATTCTTATAGACTCTCATGAGTTTGTCATCTTTTATGTACCAAAAATGTCACTGTCATCTTCTGGAAAACTCTTTCCTTTCCAGAGGAATATTCATTCTCATTGCCCTCTCTCTGACCCTGCTCACACATCTTCCCCAAGCTTTGCTCTCCTTTGCTTTCTTTTTCTCGTTCTTCAGGGTTTTTACTTCCTTTTTATTTCTCCCTCGGTCACTAGTCATTTTCCCATCTCTTTCCTTGCCCTTTACAATTTTGTACCTTCTTTCCTCTACCAATTCAGTCCACCGCTTTTCTTTGTTTCTCTGCCTTCCATTCAAGCCGATGCTCCCCTAGTACTCTGTAGAGCAGAACTGAGCTCCATTCCACTCCAAGTTACCAGTGTCTAGCCCAGACCTAGGCACCATTATGGTGCACGTTGGACTCTTACTGTGACAGTTGACCCCTGGTTGTTGGGGAAGTGTTTTATAATACCAGCAACAATTTAAGATTCTGTAATAGTAATTAAAATCAGAAAGGTATTAAAAAAATAAGAAGAAAGGTATTTTGTGTCATATTTTTAACGTTTCATGAACACCTGTGTGCAGGTACTGATTACAACTAGAGACTTAACCTGTTCGTGGAATTTTAAATAATTATGCATCATGTATCCTAAGGCACAGGTTGTACAGACCACCAGAAGAGAACCTGACACTGCATTTAGGGTCAGGGAAATGTAAAGAAGTTGCTCTACACAGTAAAAATTGGCATTTTGCATATAGATGTTAAAAAGAATCCCAATTGTCTATTATTCTTTACTATTTGTTTTCATTTATTTTATTAGAAAATGCCGTTTTACCAAATACTGCCTGTATTACAAAATGGGCTTAAGACAGGATTCAGTAAAGACTACACACCTAGTAAGGTTCATAAGAAAGAAAATGCGGCCCAGGAGAAAGAGGGGAAGCTGTGACTGAGCATTGCACTTTGTTTTGTGCTTCCTAGCATTCGTGACAAATGGAAAATTTGATAAATAACTGAATTCTCAGTATCCTAAAAGAAGGAGCAGATCTATTCCTGAATTTGATTTCAGCTAACACTGAGGTCAGAATTTATTTCCTGCTTGGAAATCTTATATGAAGGGCATCAAATATGATGACATAAAAAAAAAAAAAATTCCCAGAAGAAGTTGAAATGGTCTCACCTAGCTATTTCTTGAAAGCATAACATAAAAGCTCATTTCTGAAAATTATTTAGTATCATCGTACTTGTGGATATTTTAGTTGTTACTATAATGTGTATTCAGAATTGAATCAAGCAATTTTTGTCTCTTTTATTCTCACTTCTTAGAGGCAGTACGGCCCAAAACGCCACCTGTCGTAATCAAATCTCAGCTTAAAACTCAAGAGGTAATACAGTTTTACATTGTACCTAGTAGTTGATGTCTGGAAATGAAGTAACTCTGTGTTAACTATCTCAGATCCCATTTGAAACTGCTTATGAATATGGGTCTTACCTGTTTTGAAGAAGAGGGGTCCAGCACTTGCACAGTTAGGGACCTGTAGCGGAGACATGAGGCGATTCCCTGGTATCAGTCATCTTGGATGTGCTCCCGGGAATTAGACTGAATGACTGGAGTGACCCAAACTGTGAGAGAGCATAGTGGATTCAGGTGGTAGCTCATCTGGTTCCCAAGCAGCCGCACAGGTTAGAAGGCTGAAGAGCAGTGAGCATCTGACTAGCAGAGGAAGGAGACGAAAGGGACGCTTTTTCTAATGCCACTTAGAAAACCATTCCCAGAGCTCCTTTGTTGCATTTCAGGATGAAGAGGAGATTTCGACCAGCCCAGGGGTTTCTGAGTTTGTCAGTGATGCCTTTGATGCCTGTAACTTAAATCAGGAGGATCTGAGGAAGGAAATGGAGCAACTGGTTCTTGACAAAAAGGAGGAGGAGACAGCCATTCTAGAAGGTACCAGACAAACAAAATAGCTGTGCTCTTTTCCGATTCCGAAGTTGATTATAGAAAATGTCATTCTGAAGCAGACATACAAACATACTGTAACTTTTGTGTCAGAATCGCTTCTCTGTTCCCCATTAGAAGGTAGATTCTAGCACACATGACCAGACCTTACATCCCTCTGCCTTAAGCATGCACAGGAGTGTAGAGAGGAGAAACAGCCCAGAGAGGATAAGTGATTGGTCCAAGGCACCTCAGCCCCAAGAACATGTGGCCAACAACAGGCGACAAAGAGTGCACACCCTTTCACTTAGAGACACCATCCTCCAGCCTTCTACTTGGGTTTATACTTTTTTTTTTTTTTTAAGATTTTTATTTATTTATTTGAGAGAGAGAGAATGAGAGAGAGCACATGAGAGGGGGGAGGGTCAGAGGGAGAAGCAGACTCCCCGCCGAGCAGGGAGCCCGATGCGGGACTCGATCCAGGGACTCCAGGATCATGACCTGAGCCGAAGGCAGTCGCTCAACCAACTGAGCTACCTAGGCGCCCCTACTTTTTTTTTTTTTTAAGATTTTATTATTTGAGAGAGAGAGCAGGCATGTGCCCATGAGCAGGGAGAAGGGCAGAGGGAGAAGCAGGCTCCCCGATGAGTAGGAAGCCCGACATGGGGCTTGATTCCAGGACCCTGAGGTCATGATCTGAGTCAAAGGCAGACGCTTAACCGACTGAGCCATCCAGGAGCCCCTCGGCTTTATACTTCTATGTAGAAGATTCTTTTTCCTGCTGCTGTGTGCCACAAGAGCATTGCTTCTGGGAAGGAGCATGCTGCCTTTAAAAAAATAATAATTTAGAGACAAATACAAGTGGGGTTGGGGTCGGCTGCTTTCTTTGGCACATCAGGACAAATGACTGGCTTTCTACTGGATGAAAAGCAAAGGCTCGGGTTAATCATCATCAAATGAAGAGTGTTTTGTGAAGCCTTCTGAGACCCCTCCCACCCCCCCCACCCCCATCTGTTTCTCATGCAGATGGCTGCTGGCCACTGCGGAAGGGCACTGGGCAAGAGCCCCGGGTGTTGGAGGCGATAGCTAGAGCAGACTGTGCGCTGGTTCCCTTTTTGCTGGTGATGACTAGTAGCACGGGCCCCACAGGAAACTGGAAGTGGCCCTGAGGCAGGAGTCATAAGGTGCTGGCTGGATGCTCTGGGCAAGCTGTTCTTTCACTGAATTCCTGCCCGAGTTATAATTTGGACCACATAATATTCTTTTATATATTCATTGTCTTGGCCCCCCAGCTAAAGTGTAAGTTCCTCAAGGGCAGTTACACCTTGTTTTTGTTACCCCACAGTACCTGACATGGGGTCTGGCACCCAGCCCCTAATAAATATTTGTGACATTGGTGGTTTGCCATGCAACACACCGTGTCCTTTCCCTTGAGTCTAAGTTTACTACTAAGTTTAAGGTATGTATGTATGTATGTATTTATTTTTAAAGATTTTATTTATTTATTTGTCAGAGAAGGAGCGCAAGCAGAGGGAGCAGCAGTCAGAGCAGGCAGAGGGAGAAGCAGACTCCCTGCTGAGCAGGGAGCCCGACGTGGGACTCGATCCCAGGACTCTGGGATCATGACCTACGCCGAAGGCAGACACTTAATGACTGAGCCACCCAGGCGTCCCAAGGTTTGTTTTTAACCAACTGAGCCACCCAGGCGCCCCCCAAGGTTTGTTTTTAAAAGAAGAAAATAGAAGGATGCCTGGGTGGCTCAGTCGTTAAGCATCTGTCTTCGGCTCAGGTCATGATCCCAGGGTCCTGGGATCAAGTCCCGCATCAGGCTCCCTGCTCAGCAGGAAGTCTCTTCTCCCTCTGCCTGCCGCATCCCCTGCTTGTGCTCTCTCTCATAAATAAATAAAATCTTAAAAAAAAAAAAGAAGAAGAAGAAGAAAATGGAGGCGCCCGCTGGCTCAGTCAGTGGAGTATGTGACTCTTGATCTCAGGGTTGTGAGTTCGAGCCCCACATTGGGCATAGAGATTACTTAAAATCTTAAAAAAAAAAAAAAGATGAAAATAAATTTTAGCTTTATTTTTTAAATAGCTGGTTTGTTTTTTTCTATTTCATAACACCACATAACAGTTGTCTTATCGTCTACATACATATATGTACACATACACATCACACACTCACACACACACACACACACACACACACACACACATATTGAGGTTCTAAGTGGAAAGTTGCAGTTCTGAATCAGCACAGAAGAGGAACGTGAGAGCTTAGATGGAGCCCAGTGTGAGGGGCCAGGCTTCATCAAGAGACCTCCTGACTTCAGGTTCTGGTATCCATTGCCATTCTAGGAAAACTACTGCTAAAGTGCTTACGCACAGACTGTGAAGCCTGCAGATCTGGCTCCATCTGGATGCCTGGTGCTATCAAGCTTTGTGTTCTTGGGCAAGTCACTTAACCTCTCTAAGCCTCTGTTTTCCATCCTAAAAAATGTGCAGCAGTGTATCTAGTCCCTGGATTGTTCTAAGGATGGGAAAAAAAGGGGGCGGGGGAGTGATATGTAGAAAGAAGTTAGCACAGTCCCAGCTCAGTGATTGCTCAAGAAATGTTAGCTGTTTTTTTCTACCGCTGTCATCCTTAATAGTGGTAAAAATTAATTTGCAACCAAATATTAATTATCAACTATCCATTTAAATACAAGGAAAAGCAGAGGTTTTAGAAAGCAAAATAACACCCAAACATATAGCACTTAACCGATTTATCTTTCTAATCATATTTCCCTTCGGTTACTGTTAAAATTTGGTCAGTTTTTCTGAGCACACATGGCGAGGAAGCTCGAGATGTTAAAAATTACCATGGCTAGGACTTCCACAGGGAATTATACTTGACCGAGTTGTTAAAACCAGCATTGTGAATTCAGAGAGAATCTTTTCCTTCTCATTTGTTTCTTTCAGAAGATTCTGCAGATTGGGAAAAAGAACTACAACAGGAACTTCAGGAATATGAAGTGGTGACAGAATCAGAGAAACGAGATGAAAACTGGGATAAGGAAATAGAGAAAATGCTGCAGGAGGAAAATTAGCTCTTTCCTGAAATAAAAGAATAATGCTTAACATTCTGTAACTGACATTAAATTCTAGATGACGACACTCGCTGAATCAGAATGCAAAAAAGATTGGTATAACTACGAAATTCAAGATTATTCTTTTTTCAAGCTGAAATTTGCCTTTTTTGCGTTTATAAAAAGTATATAGAACAGTTATTCTAATAATCAAAAAGGGATGTTTTATGTAATATTTCTTTAATATAAATCTAGAGATATTCATGTAGTTACTATGGATATCTTTGCCACAGAAATGCAAGTAAAATTTTAGAGTTCTGTTTTCCATGAGGTCAGAATTATAATTTATTCTGCAATTGTTTTTTCCTAAACATTTGTACTTCTTGTTGCATTTTCACTGATACATGTATTTGTTGAAGTACTTACGTAACGGATTGATAACTATCAAAATGACCAAATTGTACCAAAGAACTTAAGAAGAAGCACTTTCAAGACTATTTTCTTGGTAGGTATTTTCTAAAATTCCCTCTAGAAGCCAAAAGGTAAGATAATTATGTTGATTTTCATAGTGTAAACATCACACAATTTGACATTGAGAAATACTGTGCAGAAACATTTGTTTTTTTCTGGGGCCTTTTCTTTCTTGTGTTGTTGTTTGTTTGTTTCTTTGTTTTTTTAACTATACCACGTTTAGTATCGTTGCTTTCCTAAATTCCACATCACAGTTTTTGTAGAAAGCGGGGTCTTTTGTCCTTTTTATATTAATGACCTTCATAAGCCCATTCACCTTACAGTCTCTTGTTTTTGTTTAAATCATCATCACATATAAATATTTCAGTTTTGTTTGTTTGTCTTAGTTAAACTGTCAGTCCTTATAAAATTGTGTTCCTCTAAGTACAACTTGTGGAACTTCACTGCTCAATCCTGCTTGTATTCTGCTACACCAGCAGGCCCATGCTCATAGAATATGGTATTTTTTTTTTTAAAGATTTTATTTATTTATTTGACAGAGAGAGACACAGCGAGAGAGGAAACACAAGCAGGGGGAGTGGGAGAGGGAGAAGCAGGCCTCCCGCCGAGCAGGGAGCCCAATGTGGGGCTGGATCCCAGGACCCTGGGATCATGACCTGAGCCGAAGGCAGAGGCTTAACGACTGAGCCACCCAGGCGCCCCAGGATATGGTATTTTAAAAGAACAAGGTGGCTTAATGTCAGAACACTTCCGAGGCATTTGCTTCCTAAAACGTTCATATTTTTCAAGGAACCTTTATTTCATAAAAGGGAATAGAATTAAGACAGTCCTTTATAGGAAAAACGTACATATTTCTATTCTTCACTCCATAAAAATTAGTCCATGGTCCTCTGGCAAAGGTATAGTCAACGAGAGAACTGGGTGTGCGTCCAAGCTTTCCTCTTGTTTGTAGCTTGGTGCACACACTTGTGAATGAGCCAGACTGTCTCAGCTAGGATCCCTTGGGTTATAGCAATAAACTCACGTATTCTGTGAAACCACTGACTCCATTATGAAGGGATCTCCACTTGTGGTGCCACAGTTGCTGATTACTGAGTTTGGGTTCAGAGATGGTGACTGGCAACTTCTAAAATAATCCTATTGAAGGGAGAAGTTTGGGTTTTTTTAAAGTAGAGTTTTCTGGAGGGAAAGAAACATGTAAAATGTTTTTAAGTAGCTAAAAGTCCTGGATGTAAGCAGATCATATATGACAGTGCTTGGCTCTTGGTATATACACTAAAATTCACATTGTTGAATAAATACAAAAAAGCAAAGGTTTCAGAGAAAGTAAAAAAAAAAAACCTAAAATGACAATAGACATTATAATTGTTACTATGAACTTTACATGATACTCTTATTGCATTTAAAAACAACCTAATTGTGTATTGCTTTATGAAAACAGAAGGCTAAAATAAGATTTAATACACAGCATAAAAATACAGTTATGCTCTATTTTTAATGATTCAAATAGGAGTAAAATGTTCTGCTCTTTTAATTGATACAGGTAACTGAAGTGTATTCCTTTAAAGGAAAAAATAATTTGTAACCATGTTGGGTGGAAAATTTCTAAGTATTTATTACATGCCTGGGGGATAGCCAACAAGCTATGCTGAGCATAAAAACACATAAGCTTCACACTATGGGGATTATACCTCACTACTCACAGTGTGGCTCAGGAGCCAGCGATGGCCTGCCCTAGGAGTTCGCTAGAAATGCAAGGTTTGAGGCCATGCCACAGACCTGCTGGCCCAGACCCTGCACGTTACCGAGAGCCCCAGGGATTAGAATGGGCTTTACAGTTTGAGGCAAATTGGACTAACGCACTAATGCCCTCAGGGCAACCAAGGTTGCTGGTGCTTTTTACTTTGTACTCTTCCACTAGCATCGTTGGATGATGGGGTCTTTCTAGTTGGTGTTACAGATGCCTCCTCTGCTGTTGCAGTTAGTTCCTGCTGCCGATTCACCTTTTCACACTGCCAAATAAAGAGGAACCAAGCTCCCAGGAAGACCATGAACGATCCTGCTAAGTCAGATCTTTCTGATGTCACACATTTCAGAGGAAAATGACAACACCACAAAGTGCAGAGATAAGGCTCCCTGAGAATTGTTTCACATGTTCACAAGCTTTCTCTGAGGTTCTTGAGTGGCATCAGAGGGCTGATGTCCCCCGAAGGCCATAAAGGATGGAATGTACCATGTATGGCACGTTCATGCACATGAAATCAAGTAAAAATATTTGGAAAGGTAATAGAGTATGGACCCAAGCTATGTCTTTAAGGCCAATTTTAGGTACATGGAGTCTTATTTTAGAAGAACGGAAACTATTTGCAGTTCCAGCAGTTTATGGCAAGTCAAGTCCACGGATGCAGCCAGTCTCAGCAGGAGCTCGTGCTCTGCTACTGCCAACTCAGTTACAGTGTCACAAATTCATATGCAAAAGTGGCAACTTCTTACAAGAAGTGGGAAATCTCCATAAGTTTTGAAGAGAAACTAGAGAACCTTATCTTTTAGTAGATAAAGCAGCAATGAATGATACTTGTAACTCAGTGCTTTCAGCTACCCTACAGTAAGCAAGATGGTTTTTCACAAACTATTATTACAAATAGGATTTTTAGGACGTTTTAAAGGTTTACCAAAAAAAAAAAAAAAAAACCTTACGATCACATCCAACTTGCAATAGTTTATTTCCCTCCTTGACCACTTTGGTATAAAAACCATGACTTCAGTGAATGTGCTTCTATAATTTAAATAATTTGATATGGTTCTTTCTGGTAATAGATTTTTCCCTCCATTTTAAAGTAAAACCTTTTTCAACAGCAAAAATGAGGGGCATTTAATTTTCGCAAATTTATGTTTCAGCTTTTAAAAATATAAGTGGTAGGAATTTTGATACAGTTTATATAATCAGTTTTATGGGGGGGGAACAGGCCTTTTTAATGATTATTTCCAGACTATATTGATAGGAAAATAAAATTACAAAATGCATGTTACAATACCCAAAAAAGATGGTGCTTAGAAAACTAATGAGTCATGACATGACAAATATATATTCATGAAGCTTTAATCACATGCAGTTACATATTTCTTATAAATCAATTGTTATCTGGTCTTCACACTTAGGGATTTGTTCAGATGAAGCCGTTTATGATTTCAGTTGTTAAACTATGATTAGTTTTTAACAGCATTTATTCAGTGCATTCTGATTTATTTCCAATATGGAAAAACTATATTCCACTTTGTTCTGAATAAACCTCATTTTTAGTGATAAGATACGTTATAATGGTTTTTCCTGAATAACTAAAAATTGTCTTCCAATAAGAACCTATAAATATTTCAAAGTTACCTGGTATGTAGGCTTCTATTAGAATTAAATTGCCTTGAGAAGGTACTGAGTTTTAAGAACACATTTTACTTTCACTGTAGACGACTACTCAAGTGCAGTGGGTTGTCCTTCATAATAATAAATAATTCTAATCCAGTCAGCAGGTCTTTTACTCTAAAGCTACTGCAGGATTTTTCCCTCCTCCAGTAGTGATAGTAATATTGATCTATCTTGTTCTTTCCTGATAACCATGATGAGGACTGATGATGGTTTCTGCTGGCTAAAGCTCAAACTCACCAAGGTTAACCAGTTCTCACTAAAACCGAGGGGAAAAAATTTAAGCCTGTAATCTAATAGGGGCACGTGGCTGGCTCAGTCGGTAGAGCATGTGACTTGATCTTGGGGTTGAGTTCAAACCCTACGTTGGGCCTAGAGCTTACTTAAAAAACAAACAAAAAAAAAACCCCACAACTGACCTAATAGAGATAATAGATCAATTCAACATAATAGAGGATTTGGGTAACTACCACTAAAGAATCCACATTATGATCATGAAAACAGCCAGTAAGTACATAATATTCTCTGCCATATTGCACTTAGTGCAAAAATCAAGATACAGCAAAATGGCCACATCACTCAACAACATTAACTCTCATGGAGACACTGCAGGGTATAAACGTGATGTGGGAACTGAGCTAAATCGTGTCCCTCTACCAAAAGAGTGTGGCACAAGATGCGACATTGGAACACCAGACTGGCTCAGGTTGTGGAGTGTGTGGCACTTGATCTCAGCATCATGAGTTCAAGCTCCACACTGGGCCTGGAGTTTACTTAAAAAAAAATGTGGGACGCCTAGTTGGCTCAGTCGGTTAAGTGCCTTCGCTCAGGTCATGATCCGGGGTCCTGGATGGGGATCCCTGCTGAGCAGGGAGCCTGCCTCTCCCTCTGCCTGCCGCTCCCCCTGCTTGTGCTTGCTCTCTCCCTCTCTCTGTGTCAAATAAATAAAATCTTTATTAAAAAATAATGCCATCAGGGGCACCTGGGTGGCTCAGTCGTCAAGCGTCTGCCTTCTGCTCAGGTCATGATCCCAGGGTCCTGGGATGGAGCCCCGCATCAGGCTCCCTGCTCCGCGGGAAGCCTGCTTCTCCCTCTCCCACTCCCACTGCTTGTGTTCCCTCTCTCGCTGTGTCTCTGTCAAATAAATAAATAAAATCTTTTTAAAAAATAATGCCATCAGCAAGATTAGTGTAGTGTTCTTTGTTCATTGAACTAACAAAACAAGTGCTTGTGAAATTAAGGCATGAAAATAGACACAAATCTGGACAACACACAAAACATAACAAGAACATGGGATGCACGTCTTACTGTCCCTAGTACCACACTTTGAGGAATGAGACTAAGCCAGTGAATTTCTTGACCGAAGGCAGTGACCCTGCACTTGAGAACCACCTGGGAGCTTTAAAAATGCTGATGCCCAAGCCCCACCCCCAGAGATGCTAACTGGTTGGGGATGTAGCCTGGGCATAGGGTTGTTTTTGATTTTGTTTTATAAACTCCCCGAGTCATTCTGAAGAGCAGCTGGAATTGCAAAGCTCTGGGCCTAGGGGAAAGAGCCCTGGGGGGAAAAGATTTGTTTGGGTGAGATAACTAGGGAGCACTCAGTTGCTTCCTTAGAAAAATGAAAGGGTGAAATTGCTTGGGTTTTGGGTTGGGTTTTTTTGTTTGTTTGTTTAAGATGTTATTTTTAAGTAATCTCTACACCCAGTGTGGGGCTTGGACTTACAACCCTGAGATCAAGAGTCACATGCTCTACCACCGGAGCCAGCCAGGTACTCCTGGTTTTAAAGTCCATCCCATGTCCTAAATGTTATCTTAAGAGAAGCCTTTATAAAATACTTTTTTTTTCTTTTTTAATTAGAGCGGGAGGGAGGATCTTAAGCAGGCTCCATGCCCAGCACAGAATTGGATGCAGGGCTCCATCTCACTACCCTAAGATCATGACCTGAGCTGAAATCAAGAGTCGGAAGCTTAGCTGACTGAGCCACCCAGGTGCCCAGATAGATAC